TGTGGGATCCCTAGGGAATGGATCCGGCGAGGATCCTGGTCCATGTACAACAAGATGCTTACAGTAGATTACAGTATCAGACGTCGGCAGCAGCCAGCCCATATACATATAATATGGGCCTATTGGGCTGTAAACCAAGTCCGGGCCTTCTGGACTCTATCTCTCACTAGTCACCACTAGAGTCTACAGAAGCTAAAAATATATATATAGAGTATACTGCCGATTTGCCCCCTGAACTATCACCCAACTTTCGATTTCCCCCCTGAACTTTTTAATTGGAAAATTAAGGACTTAAACTAATTTTTTTAGCCGATTTGCCCCCTGCTGTCAATTTTTCATTCATTCCATCCAAATTTTTGTTAAATGGAAGCATATGCACAACATGTGTGGGTAGTTCGGTCGCTTCATTCTTTAAAATAATTGAAAACCTTAGATTTCTAAAATATAAACCTATGCAAATATGTGTGATTCTATAGCTTTTGTATCTAAAGGTCTAGTGAAATGATACTTTTGTCCACAAATGAGAGTTACGTGGTTTGCACATGATAAGAGTTAACGTTAATTTGGATGAAATCTATGAAAAACTAACTGTAGGGGGGAAAATGGCCAAAAAAAATTAGTTTAAGTCCTTAATTTTCTAATTAAAAAGTTCAGGGGGAAATTGAAAGTTGGGTGATAGTTTAGGGGGCAAATCGACAGTTTGCTCATATATATATATATATATATAAAGGCATCAGAGACTCTGACTCGGTTTTTCTTTGTCGTTTTAAAAGAAAAATCCCAAAGGGAAGCTGGCTGGGAGGAGCTTGATGAAGAAGAAGCTGGCAATTGAAATCGGAGCTCCAAGTCAAGCGGATCTCATCTCATCTGTTCATCAGTCTGAAAAGTGAGCGAGTGAGTTGCCTTCAACTTTCTTTCTTCACTAGTTATTGGGGTAGGATTAGGATTAGGGTTACTCTGTCTCATCACTTCCTATTTGTATTTGTCTCTCTCCCGCTCTCGGTAAACCCTATTCAATTAGTAAAATTGCACCTCCATCCATCAATCAGGCTGGCTACCTTGGTGATGGGAACACTGAGCTCCCAAATTTTGAATTTATGTCCATGGGAGAAGCTTCCTTCCTTCCATGTCTGTGGGACCCATGAAAACCTTTGCACCCCTTTCCTTCCCTACCACTTTTGAGGGCGGATGCGGAGTCGATTTGAATTTCCCCACCACCACCACCGTCATGGATTCCTCTGGTCCTGCCCTCGCCCTCGCCACCACTTCAATTGCAGAGCCTCATGACGCCATGGAGTTTGAATCTCATGAAGCCGCATACACCTTCTACAAAGCATATGCCAAGTCCGTGGGTTTCGGCACTGCTAAGTTGAGTAGTCGTCGCTCTAGAGCATCCAAGGAGTTCATTGATGCCAAATTTTCATGCATCCGGTACGGAAACAAGCAGCAGTCCGATGATGCTATCAATCCTCGACCTTCTCCCAAAATTGGCTGCAAGGCGAGCATGCATGTCAAGCGCAGGCCAAATGGTAATTGGTATGTTTATAGTTTCGTAAAGGACCACAACCATGAGCTTTTACCAGATCAAGCACATTTCTTTCGCAGCCACAGAAACACTGACCCCCTTAACAATGATGTTAGAATCCGGAGACGCAAGAGTTTAGCTGCAGTGTCCAGCCTCTTCAGTGCCTATCAAAATGTTGATTGTCTAGAGAGTTACTTGAGAAATCAGCATGACAAGGGACGGATTTTGGTTTTAGAAGCAGGGGATGCTCAACTGCTGCTTGAATATTTTATGCGCCTACAGGAAGACAACCCAAAATTCTTCTATGCAGTTGATCTGAATGAAGAGCATAGGTTGAGAAATGTGTTCTGGGTTGATGCCAAAGCAATGGAAGATTACACTAACTTCAACGATGTTGTTTTCTTTGACACCACATACTTCACAAACAAGTATAAAATACCGCTGGTTCTTTTTATAGGAGTGAACCATCACATTCAGCCCACATTACTTGGCTGTGCTTTGATTGCAGATGATACGGTTTATACTTTTATGTGGCTAATGCAAACATGGTTTATAGCAATGGGTGAACAAGCTCCACGAGTAATACTCACCGACCAGAACGACGCCATCAAAGCGGCTATTCCAGCAGTATTTCCAGGCACACGCCATTGCTTTTCTTTATGGAACATAATGGAGAAGATGCACAGGCAGCTCGAGTTTCTAAGCATGTGGCATGATAGTTTTTTGGAAAAATTTACTAAGTGTATATTCAAGTCCTGGTCAGAACAGCAATTTGAAAAGAGATGGTGGAAACTTATTGATAGATTTAATCTTAGGGAGGTTGGATGGATGCAGTCATTGTATGAAGATCGTACTCATTGGGCCCCTACGTTCATGAGAGATATATCCTTCGCTGGGTTGTCTCCAACTTCACGGTCAGAAAGTTTGAACTCTTCGTTTGACAAATATATTCAAGGGGATACTTCACTGCAAGAGTTTATGGAAAGATACACAGCAATTCTTGAAGATAGGTATGAAGAGGAAGCGAAAGCAAATTTTGATGCTTGGCATGGAACACCTGAGTTAAAGTCTCCATCGCCGTTTGAGAAACAAATGTCACTAGTGTACACACACGAGATTTCAAAAACTTTCAAGTTGAGGTTTTGGGAGCGGCTGCTTGTCATCTTAAGAAAGAAAATGAAGATGAGACAGCAACAACGTTCAGTGTCAAAGACTTTGAAGACAATCAGAATTATACCGTAGAGTGGAATGAATCAAAATCAGATATATATTGTTCTTGCCACTCATTTGAGTATAAAGGCTATCTCTGTAGACATGCTATTGTTGTTCTCCAAATGTCTGGTGTTTTCATCATCCCTCCCAAATATATATTGCAGCGATGGACAAATGCTGCTATGAGCAGGCATACCATTGGTGAAAGAGTGGATGAGGTTCAGTCTAAAGCCCGTCGCTACAATGATTTATGTCGACGGGCCATAATATTGGGTGAAGAGGGGTCACTCTCTCAAGAAAGTTATGATGTAGCATTATCGGCCATAAAAGAAGCGTTGAAGCAATGTGCAAGTTTAAACAACTGTCTTGAGAACAATGCAAAACCTCATGATTCAGCAATACATGGTGTTTGCGGTGTTGATGAAGAGAATCAATGCAGCACTACATCTGGTGCCAACAAGACTCCTAGGAGAGCCGGGTCCGGGAAGGAGGTGGCTAGGAATGGGAATAGCACAAGCAAGAAAGGAAAGGTACCTGATGGTTTATTGGTCATGTTTTTGTATTGTTTTTTCATTTGGAAAATAGCTTTTAATATGTTGTCTGAATTTGGAAAATAGGTGAGTAGTGAAAAATGATAGAGCATTACTAAGGACTCAAGTTTGCTCAATTGGCATAACAGGTACCTCAGCTGGAAGCTATGAGCTTTGGAATGCAAGACGGCCATTTCCAAATGGTATGTTTCCTGATACTAGGTTGCAAGCAAATTTACTAGAGGTATTCCTAAAATTGGAGCCACTTCAGAAAACTTCTACTTTTGAAGATTTTGGTCTTTCCAATCAAGACACTTTTCACATTGCAGAAAACAAAAGCATTAATGCTGGACATGGATCTGATGAGGAGCCATGATCTAATTTGGAAATAAATTTAATCACAGATTCTAATACTGATGCTATAACTAAGAATTAAGGATAAAGAATTTTACTGACCATAAGCCCTTGTAATCAATTTCAAGGGTTTCAGTTGAGGATTCTGACCTTTGATAAACTGACCTGAGAAAACTTGAATCTGTATCCCCTTGCAGATTGACAGGGTTGAGTTAAACCATTGGAATGCAATGTTTTTGTTAACATATTGAACAGTTTACGTACGCTATGTGAAATATATGGAACCCTTTCTTTGGTGTATGATTTTTGAGGTGAACCTTTTGAACTTGAATCTTGATGGGTATTGAACAGTGCTTACAGATGTTAAGCATAACTTGCTTTCCATTTTATATCTGGTAGATATTTGAATATAAGTTTAACCATCACCACATCAAAAATTTTGATTTGAGTATATGTATCATTATAGTATACCATAATGTGTACGGCACTTTTTCTGTTGCTGTGTTTGTGTGATGTGTGATACTGATACTATTAGTAAAGTGTTGAGTGTTGATCTCCAAGGTAGGATTTTGTATTGAAATTTTCTTCATTGAGGAAGAAAAAAAGGAGGTGGGCATGGAGTTGAGCATATCAGACTAATGGAAACTTGTTACTTGTGGCAGCAACTTTCTGACTCAAGGCCCATGCAGTTGCATAATGCGGTGCCAACAATGTTTCAGAGTGTTGCATCAACACAGCTCCATAATGTGGCATCAACACATGTGCATGAAAATCTCCCTCAGTAACTCAAACATTACCTCCTGTACAGACAAACCGCTGAAGGACTGAGTGAGTGAATGACTGCAGTAAAAGAAAAGGTCAGGTGCGATTGCTGGTAAATTATATGTTGTGCATTTAGGTGGGCAGCAATTAGATTTCAATTGGTAATGCCCGTGTAAAACAGTTGTTTTGTAAGTTGTGCATTTCATTTCGTTAGCTTTTTGTTCGAGAAGTTGACTTGTTTGTGTGAGCTGTTAGAGTCGTATGTGTATTTCATTAGGGGTTGGGTTGGGTTGGGTTGGGTGGTTTCAAGTGAGGAGTATAGAAAGAATCATTTACTTGCAGAAGCTTGATTGAAGAATGAATGAGACGCGAGGGAAGGGTAATTTTCAGGTTGTTATTCGGACTCCAGATTTGTCTTGGAATGAGGAGAAGAGAATAGAGTAAATGTATCTACGCTTTTTCTTTTCCAATTCAGCATCTGATCATCCCAGAATCCGATTCCTATTCTTTAGTTATTAAGAGCGACGGTCGCTGGCGGAGTCACAAGTCAGAGTCGAATGCGAACCATGGATCGGATCCGGACGTGTTTGGAATTGAAAGTGAAAAAGGAAGAGCAAACAAAATGAAAAAGGATTGCCACCGTGGGGTTGGGCGGGGCGGGGTGGACCGCAAGGAAATGGAATAAGAGCCCAACTGGTAGATTGTTCTTGTCCCCCCACCCATCAAAAAACAAAAACAAAATATCAAAGGAAACGGTTTGAGACGCAAGTGGGTCCCCTCCCACCGAAGGTAGCGGCAGCGCGCAGCCTATATATGCCGAGGGCGGCCCCTCCTCTCTCATATACCAATATACGATACCAGGTCCATCAGATCCGGCAGGAAGGAGGAGGAAAGAGATGGCGCCAAGCACAAACTCACTCGTATCACAATCAGAAGCAGCACCGGTCCGTCGCTACCGCATCGGGTATGCCTTCGCACCCAAAAAAGAGCAGACCTTCATCCAGCCCTCTCTCCTCCACCATGCCTCTCGTTACGGCATCGATTTCGTCCCCATTTCAATAATCGATTCCACCGCTACCGCCAAGACCCTGATCGAGCAAGGCCCCTTCGATTGCATCATCCACAAGCTCTACGGCCCCCACTGGAACCAACAGCTCAAGGAATACTCGTTAAAGTATCCACAAACGCTCATTCTTGACCCGCCCGAGTCCATCGAGCGCCTCCACAATCGGGTCTCCATGCTCGACGTCGTCACCGCCTTTGAATCGAAGCCGCATCAGTCAGGCGACAGATTCCAATCGAAGATCTCGGTGCCCAAACAGGTGCTGGTTGACCATTACCCGGAAGGCGAAGAAGCAACTAATTTGTTGGCGGGGTTGGAGTTTCCGGTGATTGCAAAGCCGTTGTTGGCGAATGGCAGCGCCAAGTCGCACGAGATGTGTTTGATTTTTAACCCCAAGGGGTTGCGCAGTCTTCTGGCCGATACTGATAGTCCCATTTTGCTGCAACAGTTTGTGAACCACGGCGGGGTGGTGTTCAAGGGTTACTCAATCGGAGAGCACGTCCAGTGCGTCAAGCGGAGGTCACTGCCGGACATTTCGGAGGAGCAGGTGACCGCATTGGAAGGGGCAGTGCTTCCTTTTTCCCAGATATCAAATTCTGCGAATGACGAGCATAATCTGGCTCATGATCCTCACGAAATGCCTCCGCTGGAGTTTGTTGAGGAGGTGGCGAAGGGGATACGCGTGGGCCTCAAACTCAACTTTTTCAACTTTGACGTGATAAGGGATTCGAAGGACCCCAGCAGCTATTTTGTGATCGACATCAATTACTTTCCTGGGTATGCCAAATTGCCTAACTACGAGCATGCCTTGACTGACTTTTTGCTGAATCTGCTTGCAACAAGTAGTCATCCCCAAAGCCAAAACCAAAAGGAGCTCCTGCAGCTCAAGGAAGAAGAAGCTGCCACAAGTTTGGAGTCCGATGTCAAACAACACAGGGGTCATAAGGAGGACTAGGAGGACCCGAGCAAGAGGAGGAGATTGACAATTGTGTTACTTGGATTGGGTTTTTCCAATTTAGGTAGCTGTGAATTTCTTCTTGTGATGAGAGGCATACAGTCAATGTAGTGGAGAGTGGAAGAGTGGAAAGTGGTGAGTGCATGATATGATATGAGAGGGGTCACCATCATCGTGAGCATACATGTAGATGCGAATTGCATGTAAGCTGGGTAACCTGTCACATATATCATCATGTGCACAAATAAATTTCGAATAATTGCAGCAGCTACCTTTAAATTTGCAAATCACATGTCTTTATATACATATATGGTTTTGGTCTCGTCTTATTTTCCCAGATGCAGATGGAGCGACTGGTTGTCCATGAAATGAGAGCCTTTATAATTTTATGCTTAATTCTCCATCACTTTTCTCTCCCTCCCTCATACTCTCACTCACTCACTGGCACTCAGAAGAACAAATCTGAAAAAATTAATGTTGATAACTAGAAAACAGGTGCAACCTCCTTCCGTCTGATCATTTTGAGAAATAGTTCAGGTTAATGGGATACAAAGTTTTAATTTCTTCATATTCCATCCTAAGGTATTGAAATTGTTTCGATTTGTGCCTTCAGTCTGATTGATTGTATGATAATTCTTAAATTGATGACGTGGTGAGTTTGAGACCCTTACATTAGCTAATATGTAAGATACATCTGCACCCGCAATGACAAAAAAAGTCATATATTTTATGGATAATTAAATTCAAAATTTAAAGCTTCATGGCCCTTTTAAAAATCATCTCAAAATCACCATTATAGTTTAGTGATATTCTTTCTCACTTGTAAGTAAAAGGTTTTAGGTTCAATTCTCATCAAAGGCGAATTTGAACTACATTCTTGCTAGCTCATTGTGAGACTAAGCATACTCTCTTAATGTAGATAATATCTTTGCTAAAAAAAAAATCACCTCAAATCTGAAAGATGTAAAATATAGTTAGCCTTAAAACTAATTAATGCATAAGTTAAATCGAGCGTTGAGGTGTTAATATCATTTTTAAAACAAAATCGTTGAGTTGATTCGTTCTTAAGTAAATTACATTACTCTACTCGGTAGTCACCCTCCACAATCCACATGCAGTATGCAAACTCAACTCGCAACAACAGAGTCAATCCAAAGTCAAGTTATTTGAAAAAAAAAAGAAAAAAAAAGTGTGAATTCAAAACCCCTCCCTCCCTCCGTCTCTCTTGCTTATAAATTTTATATTTAAATCAGACTATTAAAGTTGGCCATGGTCTTTGCATGCAACGTTGTTACTTTAATGGATGAATCCTCCCTCGTCCTCAATAATTTACTTGTACCTCGTTACTTGTCGTTTACAAGTTCAGCCCTTCAGTGGGTCGAAATCGATATCCAAGGCCCCAGTCAATTAAATTAAGCCTGGGCTTTTTGACCCACAAGACAAAAAACAAGTAAGCCCGGGCGATGTCTAGTCTAGTAGAGGACAACGGCCCGGCCCATATGAAACAACGCTTCTTTTTTTTTCTTTTTTTTTAACAAACGATATTACCTACTTTTAGAGGAAAGGAGATGGGTTTAACTTCATAATGGGCTAACAATAATGTGATTCAAATTCATATTTGACGGGAATCAAATCTAATACCTCTCACTTACAAATGAAGAGGAATACTGCTAGACCATATCAAACAGAAGCCCTTGAATCAACTCATACAAGATACAACCTAAGCATAGCCCCCTTCTATTTTTCAAATATAAAAAATGTTAGGAATATCATATTTTTATACCAGGTACGTGATGCGACAAATAACATGTAAGTGGCATGTCAATTAATGATAGTATCTTATTAAATATTGTTGTATGCATCACTTGACACATTATATGGTCTTACTACCATTTGTTACTCCTCATATGTTGTTCCATTATTAACATATACATACATACATACATACATACATACATACATATAAGGAGTGTATTTTTGTTGATGATTATTGTATGATACTAGTAGATTATGGTCTTACTACCATTTGCCCTCTTTTTAGTGTACCAAATCATTCGAGGGTTGATAAGCAAGGAAATAAGCAAAGATAACTTATGGTAATAGAAAAGTATACCGGAAAAACATAGCTTTATATAGAGAAAGACCAAAGCAAACCCTAGACTAAAACCCTAATACTAACGGGTTAAGCCCAAAAAACCAAACATTAAAATAAATCTAAATAATAATATTTTCCAACACCCCTCGTCAAACTCATAGCGGTTCACGATATGAGTTTGCCAAAGTAGATGTGGATGCAAGACTCCAAATTCCAATGCCAATGCCGATGAAAAACACAACCATGCTAATGCCGATGCCAACTTTAAAATACAACCATGTCAATGCCGATGCCAACTTCAAACTACCATGTCCAATCATCCTTCCTAGATTCAGATTTTGAATTAGTTCCAATATGCAAAACAGTAGTTGCTCCTCCTTTCTATGGAAGTTCATGTTGCTGAGACAACTTAGGACATTGGGACTTCCAATGCCCTTTCCCTTTACAATAAGAACACTCATCCATAGCAACCCTACGAGACCTTGCTGCAGCAAATGCTGAAGTATTTGACGACGATGAAGAGAGCCTATGCGACTGCACACGAACCTCTTCTGCTTGTAACTCATTAAGAACAGAATCAACAGATGGAAGAGGAGTTCGATGAAGGATGGAGCTACGGAGCGTCTCGAACTCATCCCGAAGAGGCATTAGAAACTGAACAAGACGTTGTTCTTCTCTATATTTACAATAAAGCTTGACAATGCCGAGTTCTTCAGGCTCAGTCAATGCAAGTTGATCCCAAAGATTGGTCAGTTCATTGTAAAACACTTGAATACTCTTATCACCTTGCTGGATTGTACGAATCTCCATTTCCAATTGATACCTCTTAGCAAAATTGGCCTTGGTATACAACTTTGCCAAGTGATCCCAAACTTCCTTAGACGTTGAGAACTTAGCCAGTTGCATTCCAATAGCCAAATCAACAGAATTATTAATCCAAGTAATAATCTTTGAATTATTCATCTCCCATGCAGCAAACAATTCAACATATTTTTCATCCTTGGGGTTATTCGGAATGGAAACCATTCCAGAAACATAGCCCCACAGTCCTTTTCCAATCAAAAAATTCTTCATCACATACGCCCAATATACATAATTATTTCCGTTTAATTTCACACCAATAGATTGTAAGGAATCATCCTTTGTAGATGCCATATCTACAATGACAACACTAAGAAAAATACCTGATAGCAATCAGCGAATAATAATCTGATATGGTTATGCCGCAACAATACTAATCTAGTACTGTTGCAGATTGATGCCAGTGCAGGGGGCGGTCAGACACTCTGGTGCAGTGCAGAAACTCTGGTGCAAGCGTGCAGTGTGCAGAGGTTGCCAGATTGCGAGGGATGCAGGTACAAACGGGCCTAAGCAGCGGTTCGAATTCAGATGGTTGCAGAAAGAAACAGGGGGCTGGTGCGGGTCGTCAGGTGCTGATGCGGTGCAGATGCAAATTGTCGGATTTTTGCAAGGATTCAAATGGTTGTTGTGCAAGTCTAAGACGAACTCGATCTAAGTGCTCCTTGGGTCTGGGCTTTGTCAAACAGTGGTGCATGGGTGATAGTGTGGTGGCCGCGTGGTAGAGTGCAGATAGGTGGACATGATGGTGGAGATGATCTGGATACGGAACGGTTAGGTTGCTGACGACGGTGATGCAGATTCAAGGTAGCAGCGCGGGGTGGTAGGCCAACGATTTTAGGAATCAGTCAGGCTGACGGCGGGAGATAGGTCTAGAGAACATGCTCTTGATACCAAGTAGAAAAGTATACCGGAAAAACATAGCTTTATTGATTGATCATCAGAAACAAAACAAAGATGTCTTTATATAGAGAAAGACCAAAGCAAACCCTAGACTAAAACCCTAATACTAACGGGTTAAGCCCAAAAAACCAAACATTAAAATAAATCTAAATAATAATATTTTCCAACAATGGTCGTGTGCGGGCAAAAAAGTATCACAATCTGCTTATATAAATAAATAACGTACCTACGATCGCTTGCTTGATTGCCCTCTTTTTAGCTACTCACTTGGGAACTAGCTTCTCACCTCATCCCGAGAACTCAAAGGTGCGTGGCTTGTTCCACAATTAAATGGTTCTGCGTGTATCCCCTCACCTAATACCACCTACACAGGGTTGAAAAGAAAGTAACAGATCTATGAATACCAACGCCTCTAACAACGTATTTTAGGGTGGTTCCTTGGGCACCTTCACATCTACATTTACTTATAACAAGCACATACACACAAACAAACTTGAATCATGTTATTTTAATTGAGAATGCCGTTACTTATAACCGCAACTACACTATTTGTGTGTATCCCGATCGTCTGATTGGCATGACAATCATGAAAACTTAGGTGAGAATCTATACATATTTGGCAAGGGTAGGTATAGGGTTAGTTGCGTTTATAGGTCAATACTCAATATATAGGGTACCAACCCTTGTTGTCGTTGTACAAGAAGGTTAGCTTGCTTCTAACTGGGATTTCTCTTTAGAAATCTTATGAATATATTTTTCTTAATTACTTCACAATCAATTAAATGGGGTCTGCATGTCACCTTTGCATCCTCTGTATATAAACACACATATATCATAACAAAGTCTTAGCTTTTTTTTAATTTTTACAAATCACTCACTAAATGCCGGCAGTGGAACTCAAATTTAACCCTTGTTCTAACAAGAGAATAAACCTTACCAACTCAATGAGTGATGTAAGTCTCAAGTTTTTTTCTATCAAAAGTTTGATATAAGTATATATATGAATTAGTTTTTTGTCAAACATTAGATTTATTAGATTAGATGTTACATCAGGTAGTCGACGGAACTCAAACTCATGCTGTGATGCAAGAACAACACTCATTTTCATCAATGTGGTAGAAGATCACTTGCCGTATTTGATTTGTTGTAGCTAGGGTTTCGTGACTGTACACGTTAAAGAGATGTTTGACATAAGGTTCAAAGGTCAAACCCCATTTTTACTTTTTACTAGAGTTGTCTTTTTCACTTACCAATTTCAATTCGTGCCTGGTTTTGTACCATGCACCCACTGTTTGGTCACCATGGCAAAGATCCCCTCTAGGCTCTAGCTCCAATGTCAAATTAAATGAAAAATTGGGATTGGAGTTGTAGATTTACCAACAGGATTCTTTCCGGATCTTTTTGGTGATGATCTTGAGGATTTGTGAATCATGTTCGTTTATTGTACATCGTGCGGTCAGTTTTTATCAAGTATTATTTGTGTTTAATTTTAAGTAAAAATATTTAAAATGATTTTTGACCGCACGATGTACGATAAACGAATACGATTAACAGATTCTTATAATCCTCACAAAGAAGATTCGGCGAGGATCCGGATTCGTAGATTTATAGCCAGATCAAGAAACAAAAAAAGTATACATATTAAAAAACGGATCAGTTCAAGCTGATACTATATATGTGGTTCAATAAATTTAAAAAAACTATTTACACATGAAGGATACCATGGGTATACCCATTTTTTTTGTTTTTACATAATTGTAAAGCCATCGGTACGTATATGTAGATGAACATGCTAAAGTTATTGATCTGGTATACTATATAATTAAATGGATCGATCCAGCTGGGACATGAAATGAAACTGATCTTCTACGAGATTGGCCATGTCTGCAAAGATGCTAATTAAGCTGCAAATTAATGACAAAATATATACATCATTATTCATGCATGCAAAAGAATTAAAGAGCAAAAGCAACAGTTCATTATTAGATAGCTAAAGAAAAGGAAATAAACAAAAAAGAGAGAACAAGATTAATATATTATTAGTACTTACGATCTAGGATGATGTGTTTCCAGTAGGAATGATTAGTTGGTTCATCATGATGATCCATAAGATCCCCCCAAGCTTCAAAGGTGGTTGAAGTAGTTGAAGTACTGCGTGAGTTTGGGTCAGAAATTACATGATCTTGATTAGTATTAGGGTTATTAGTCCTAGTATCAACAATCTTATTTCCCGTCATTAGATTAATATTGGCAGCAGAACACTCGGGTGAGGGCACCAAAAGAGGTAGTTGATGATGATCTGAAGCTACTGTTGGAGTTGCATATGAATATGATCCTGATGATGGGCCACCGAGCTGCTGGCCGGTCTTGTTGATCATCGTGCCGGCCGTATAAATCAAGTTTGAGGCTGGGCCTGCGCTGCTTGCCACGTATACCGGCAGTGGCTGCTGATCGTGCTCAAGAAGATGAGGAGGTTTATGTATTATGTTTGGAATACTTAAGTGGGAAAATTGAGTATTAGTATGAACTGGGGCACCAATATTGACGCTAAAACTTTGGGGATGATGATGAGAATGATATTGACCACAGATCTGTTGATGATGATCATCAGGAACTGAATTATTATATGAATATGATGATGACCCTAAAAGATAATTAAGAGCGGCCTCCACATAATTACTATTATTTGGAGGACTACCAGTGCTTAGGAGTTGCTGTTGAAGTATGGTTTGCAAAACTTCGGTTTTGGCGTCGGACAAGTGGAGCCCCAGGAGAGCATTCATATTCACATTATTATTGATGTTGTTAATACGGTCCCATTCCCATGGATTATTCAGCATCAGAGGATTACATGTACTAGTGCTTGAACAAGAAGAAGAAGAAGAAGCAGCGAGCAACTGCGGAGCCAAACTGGAAAGAATTTGATTGATGATCATGAGATACTGATGATGATCAATGTTAGTACCAGTGGTTGAGATAGGATTGTGGGTGACAGGGTCGATGCCCATTTTGAGCAGCTTCTTTTTTAAATGGGTATTCCAAAAGTTCTTGATTTCGTTATCCGTCCTTCCAGGAAGATTGCTAGCTATCGCCGACCATCTGCATATATGCGCGCTTTAAGGTAAGTTAATTGCCATGCACTCGATTAATTAACAAAATTTTACATGATATTAATTCCATATGTTTAAATTAGTCTTTATAGAGAGATATGCATGCATATGGATCATTAATTTAAAGAAAGAGAAGGAGAAGAATTAATACATAATTAATCAAAGATATATTTAGGGCCCAACTACTAGTAGTTAATCATTAGTACGTACTTGTTGCCAAGAAGAGAATGGAGGTTGAGGATGGTTTGCTCTTCTTCCTGGGAGAAGTTACCCCTCTTGATGTCAGGCCGGAGATAGTTGGTCCAGCGCAGCCTGCAACTCTTACCGCACCTGTTCAAACCTGCCAGCTTGGGGAGTGCTCTCCAACTCCCATGCCCATATCTTTCAAGGTATTCCACAAGCTTTTGATCCTCTTCTGGTGTCCATGGCCCTTTCTTTATCATTGTATCTGTGCTGCTCTTTTCATCTTGATCATCATCGCACCACGCTGATGCTGTTGCTGATGATCTCCCCATCATTAATAATAAGATCGATCAATTACCTTTAATATATCATGCACCCAACAAAAAAAAAAGAAAAAAAAAAGAACGAGTTAGGAAAATTGATGGAGGAAATATATACATATCAAGTTCAATTTACATTACAATGTATTGTATATGCATGAACTACTCCTTTTACTATGTGGCAGTTAATTCATTAAGGCACAATTATATATATGATTGTTAAGTACCTAACGATTCAAGAGCAAAAACAAAAAATTCGACAAAATATGGTGTATATGTACGTACATAATATATTATAATTTTCAAACCTCATATAGTATATATCAGTTGTTAGATCGGGCGACGATAGATCGAAGATGATTAAACGGTAGGATTAGCTAGCGTTGGAAATATGCTGCCGAGGAGTACTATATATAGAGTTAGCAAGTGTGTATATGGACTATGGATGCATGCATATATATATATATATATATATGGTGGATGATGCCTTGGCGATACAAAGCTTTGACCCTTGAAAATAGCTTGACTTCTTAAGGAGAACGGATGGAGGACACGTCGATAAAATTTCTCCAACACGGGAGGAAACCTTAGCTCCCTCTAACCCTAATTCACTCCGACAAACAAAAAAAACCTAATTCATTTTTATTAATTTCAATCAATGAATTGGGGCTTTGTATTATATTAACCTAATACATAAGCACACGCAAATTACACCATCGATAGATCATTCTCCTCTAGAAAAGTGAGGATGAGGGTCCCGTCAAAGCCTAACTCTAACTTCTAACTTCTAATGTCTAACTACAGATTTTTATTATTATTTTTTATTTTGTTTGCTATAACTATAATATACAAATACCAACATATATTTTGGTATCAAATTCGCCGTTAAGATTTTTTACTTACAAACAAAGATCTAGGACATCAATAGACCGTATTATTACGTAACAAAAATACTACTAGCACTAACCAACAATATAACTTGAAAACATGTACCCTAACCATTAGCACTATTCATAATTAATTATTGGGTTTTTTTGTTTATATTAAGCGATGTTATATATGTGTTTTGTGTGTGTGTATTAAAGGGAGACTGGAATTAGTAAACTTGGGATCTCTCTTGTTCCTAACGATGAGAGAGAGAGAGAGAGAGAGAGAGATCATGTATATGGAGTATTAGGTGGGATCAATTTCAATTATATTAATCTATTGTAAATTTCAAGGAATTCTATCAGTGATATAGAAGAAAGTAAATTAATTTTCAAACCATAACCAACTTTCTTTTTAAGAAAAAAACATAACCAACTTTATTTCACAGAATATAGTAGGGGTGTGCTATCCAGTCCCCACCGCACACTCCACACTTTCTGGTATATTGATCGTCAGCAATGCTATCTAATTGCTAGGTTTCTCTCTGTACAAAAAGTTTTGATATATTCTTATATAATATAGAATATAAATATATAGGTCCAGGGAAAGCAATCTCCAATCTCCATCCTCCAACTAATCTTAAGCGTCAGGATTGTTGCACAGTTGATCTTCTTTTTACCAGACCAATCTTTTTTTTTTTTATTCTAGTCTTTCTTTCTTTTTCTTTTTCTGTTTTTAAGAAGAAAAAAAACCATTAATTTCCACGTTCACTAACGTAATAGTTTCAGTCCAAAACACATGTATAAGGTGCTCGACAAGGGGAAGCAAGTAATTATTATATCAAATAAAATAAAGTTGTAATCATTCATCCCCAAAAATAATGCAAATTATGGAGATAATAATCATTAATTTCATGCCGACATTCGCAATCATAGATATATTACTTACGTTCCAACAAATTAAAAGCTAGAAAATGATTTATAGCAAAGGACCAAAGCGGATTGCCTACTTCTTCTTCCTCTTCTTCTTCTTCTCTTTTCTATATATCCCTGTAGGCTAGCTGCAGCCTGTAGCTACAGAAATACGGATTTCGGCTTCTTAGCTAGCTGGTGATGACATCATTGCTTACTAGTAGTCAATGTGTGCGGGGGTTAATTAAAAAGATAGTAGTGTGTATGCTGGGCGTTATTATATAGTTTATTGGGCGACCATTTTTATCTCATGAGTTCTATTTAGTAACACACACAAAAAAGAAGATTAATTAGTCTAATTAATTAATTAATTAGATGGTGTGTGGGAAATGATAAAAAAAAAAAGAAAAAAAGAAAAAAAAAAAGAAGAGGAAGTCGACTAAAAGAATATAAAAAGGCGGCCTAGCTAGATAGGACATACTTTTTCTTATATACTGATTTGAATTCATAAGCAATGGTAAGAATGTTACGTAACGCCAAGGCATGCGAATAGGTAGCAAGGTTAAAACTTAAAAGGCAGTTGTATACAATTTCAGAGCACGCAGTAGTATTAATTTTGGGAGGTATCAAAATTCATCCCGGCAAGGTAAAGCCTCATCTGGGTTCTACCTTGGACTTCCTTATATCTCATTTTCAGATGAGAATGAATCTTGTAGATAGAAAGTTGATTAGCATATATATAATTGTAAGCATGCATGCATGTGGAACAATTAAAAAGGTTAATTTTGCTCTAAAATTCAATTACTGTACTACGAATAAATCATGGCATGACCAAATTAAGCGAGTACTGCTAACTGCTTGCTTGCTGGTCGTGTACGTACGTACTTTCCCTTTTTCTGAAATAGAATTAATAATATATATGAAGCAATTGCATTATCCAAACCAGGCCATTTTGCATGCTTAGTCAACGTATATTTATCATCACTTCCGCATATCCACTCCGTGGTTTTTTTTTTTATTGTTCCAGATGAATGAATTAAGGTTTTTGCTTGGCAGAGATTTTAAGAATTACTTAAAAGAATTATTGCTATATGACGATTTCAGGAATCAAAGCTTCAATTAAGCTAAAACTCAGAGACCAATGTTCCAATTTTGATAAAAGTTCACTTCCAGGATAAAAAAAGTTTAAGGTTAAATTTCAAAATTCTCTACTAATCACACACAATTCGGAATGCCTTATTCTTCTCCATACAAAAGAGATATACTATGAATTAAGGAAATCTAAACGGTAGCCTAGAATACAAGTAAGATGAATAAGTAAAATGATGGGGATTTTTACCACTTGCAAAAGTAGGGACAAAAACACTTAAAATACTTGCAAGAGTACAAGGTAATCGTAGTATAGTCGTCTCTAATAAGGTCGTTCTCTACATAAATTGAATGAATATTATGTCAAACCAAATCTTAATTAATTACTTAAAACAAAGTTCGAGAAAAGGTTGATTTTGTGATTTAAAGTAATAAAAACGAATTTAATAGAAATAATTAAATAAATCAGCAAAATAAAATAAACTAAAAGAAAATGGTTTTTGAAAATTGAATTGTAAAAGCACTCCGTCATCACCTTAACAATCATATGTAATTCTTTCAATTACTTATGACTTACACATGCATATTCTGAAGGTTAGGTTTTCCTAAAGTATGCCTACTTGGACCCCTAACATATAGGGTATATCAAACATGCAATCCGTTTGTGGTATTCAGATCAAATCTAAACATGCTTAACGCATTAAGTTTCATGAAAACCCTCTGAAAAACCATGCAACCCTTAAGATGTGGTATTCATCCTAAGTGAACTTGCACATATTAACCACAAGAAGTCTTCGTCAATTTCAGGGACCGATCTCCGACCAAAACTGCATCAAAATTATTTTCTAAGTATCCTAATGGTGATCAAGCATTAAGACAAATAGATAGTTACGGTGATTAATAATTCAAACTTGCATGCATAATATCATAAGTCAATTGAAAAGAAACTACATATTCTTGCTAAAGCTCGTGGCCTAGCCCTAGCAAAAGAGAATTAGTTACGAACAATCATAAAACAATATATTATTGAAAATAGAAAAATGATAGAAAACACCTTGAAGGAACAATACAAATCCTCAAAGCCTAGCTAAGTTCTCCAAATCGATGCTCCTTCTCTCTAAAACCCTAATGGCTAAATAGCCTTATTTATACTACTACATAATAAAATCTTTACTAGAAAGAAAGTCTTCTAAAACTAGGAAACATAGCAGAATAAGATAATTAGGAAATACATTCCTATTATAACGTTAGGAAATATGGCCAGCCACAAAGAATCCCACGTTTATGGATATTCAGGGCTCCAAGACAGGCCCAAAACGACTTGAATTAAAGCTTAGGACGTCCCGAACATAACTGCAGAAGGCCTTGAACCCAAAAGACATCATCTTGGATGCCAGAAAGCCCAAATAAGCTCAAAATGTCACTTTGACAGCATTGCGCGCTGCTCTTTTATTTCTTCTCCATACATAAACTGCTTGGTAGAAAAATATGATACTTTGATATGATAAAGTTGAAAGACTAATGAACATCCTCCAATTGAAATCACTCCGAAATTCATTTGTTTGCCCACTTTTTGCTCAGGAGGAAGTTGAATGTCCTACATTGGAAATATAATTCGAAGTATCGACTCATCATAATTTTTATTTTAATTAAGAGTAATTACTTAGAAAATAAAGAAAACTCTAATTACATTCATTTTGTTGTTGTAAAAATATTATTGAAGTACTTAAAAGGGTACTATGTCTTTTGATCTTATTTATAGAAAGGGGGATTCGGATTTAAGAGCCTATAGTGATGCAGATTGGGCCGGAAAATTCCTTATAAGTTACTTAGAGTTTGAGTTTAGGGTGATGACATTATTCAACTGGCTTTTGCATTTTCCTTAAAATTTTGAGGAATTGATGTCCAAGGAGCTAGCTTTAGCTTCGTCAATAAATGGATCTTGTTTGTTTCTTCAGATTCTGAAATTTTGAGAAGCAAATTTAGCAACTTGGAATTAATTTTGTTAATGGCTTATTGAAAATGGTTTTCTCAGGTTAGGTATGACGCATGAAGCTGGATTTCATTTTTTAGGTCAATCATGCTTAGTCCAATACTTCACTAAACGTTTCACTAAGTTTATACAACTTAATTTATTCTAAGTCAGTATACAACTTAGTTAATTCTAAGTCAGTCTAACTTAGTCTTTGAAGTTAATTCAATCTGAGATAATCCGATGCAACAAACTCACCCTTATAATCTTTGATAACGCTTGGCTCCACTAGTATTTTGCTATTTATTTTCCCCATGTACTTTTTCGGTTTATCTTTGTCCACTAATATTTCGACATGTGATTTCCACTATTTGTGCAATGAACTAAAAATTACAGTACCAAAAAAAAAAAAACCAAATTGATTTGGGAACATCAAATGAATTAATGTGAAGGATGAATAAGACTAAAGGAAAGAAGGAGAAGAAAATTGCAATTGATCTCAGTTTCATAAATGACACTAGGTCGTCATGCATGCATGCATGGCCAGTAATCATGTCAGGTGGACAATTAAA